ATGGCTAAGGAATGTTGCAAAAATTGGCTTAAAAAGAAGGAAATGGCAACTCACCCTTGTAGACCAATCTTTGGTTGCTTCTTGGACCAAGTTGCAGCACCTTTAGCCTCTGAGAAGCCCTCCTTGCTGCTGGAAATGGAGTGGTGGTGATGGTGTTAGGTGGTAGTGAAGAAAAGGGGATGAAACTTGGGTGTTTTAGGGTAGAAATGAGAGAAGGAGAGGGGATATAATGCAAGAGGCTTAATGGATTTTTTTGTAACCTCTAATACAAATTCTGCCCCCCGGTTATATGGAACAAAAAGAGGGAGTAAAGGTGGGGAAATGGTGGGGGAAAAGGAGGCAAGTTTTCTCCCAAAAAATATCCCCCGGATTGAGATATTTTCTGGGGGATACAGCTATACAGCTGTAAAGTGTGTATTGCAAGGAACATGGCCGGCCACCTTTCGGAGTTGCAGGTGGCCGGCCGGCCACCACCCCTAGCCGGTCGGCTAGGGGTCAAAAAGGTCAAGTTGAATTAATGGCCGGCCACCACTTTTTAGGGTCCTCCCATGTGTCCTCAACACAACCCTATAGTTCAAAATTGGCAACTGTAAGACAGGAGGGACAACAAGCCACTTCTAGGGAGGGGTCAAAAGGGTCAGGTGACATTAGTAGCCGGCCACCAACTTTTAGGATCCTCCCAAGTGTGTACAACACAAATATGTGGTTTGGGGTTGAAGAAAGTGGCCCCAAGGTGTTCAACATTGGCTCAGAAGTGAGAAAAACGGGTGCCGGAGGGCGAAAATGGAATATAACTGGTTGCCAATATAATTGCTGGCCTCCCACCCTCCAGTGACCTTCCTGATGATAAAACAGAGGTACCTGCCAAAAATGAACGAAAATCGATGCAAAACGAATGTTCGGGGGCCAAAACACGTAGTTCGGGGCCCCGGAAACTACCTGTTAAGCACCGAAAGTGGTATCCAACCACGAAGTGGGTCTCTCAGACCTTAGTGCCCCTCAAAAAGGAGTAAATAAGATGTATGCCAAAAATCAGAGCAAATGGAGATGGTTAAGCGGTCCCGAACCGAGGCACACGGCCTGACGGCTCTGAAAACCGGAAACCGGGCTCCGAAATGCGCAAAATGGCCTACAGCCACGAAACGTAGCCCACGACCACTGAGAGATGGTCTATGAGACCTCTCCCTCCCTTCAGGAAGAGAAAATAGAGAAAATAGGGCCTGG